AAAGCCTGGCAAAAATTTTCATTTTTTTTGTTCCTTTCATATTTACTGGTACTAATTTATTTTTTTTAGATGCCAGCAGCGTATTTGTCAACTCCGGATAAAGAAATGATCGTTCGAGGCAAGGAAACAAGGAATGCCACGACAAGACGTTGCTCATCTCTTAGGATTTACGCCCACAACAGTTTCTCTTGTTACGGCAAAAATGAATGCGTCTGGAAATGTGCACAAATGTAAGAAAAAGGGACGATCGAGGATTACAACAAAGAATGAAGGCCGATTCCTTACGAAAGCTTTCAAGAAGGATCCGAATTTGACGTTGGACGATGGAGTCATTCTTTTCAAGCAAACTTCAAACAAGAATATTTCCTGCTGGACCTTGCATGACGCTTACTTCAAGCAGCATTGTATACTAGAAGACCTGCTCTCAAGCCTATGATGACAGCCAAATACAGGAGGCATTTAAATGTTATCGAGAATACAAGAGGGATTTAAATGTTATCGAGAATCTATGGACCTATTTGAAATCGAAATTGCGAGGAAAACTATTCAATTCTAAAGTCAAGTGATAGTTTTACATCAGAAAAATTTGGAAGACTATTGGATTGGAATTCTTAATTGCATCGATGTCTACTCGTATTAAGTATTCAACATTTTTTGGAAAACTTTTTCGATTCGTGTTTTCATCTTCTGAAGTGTTTCATCTTTGTGTTTTCATCTTCATTCGTGTTTTGGATCTTCATCTTTTTCATCTTCATCTCTTGAGAATTGATCATTTCATTTCTTTATCCGAAGTTGACAAATACGCTGCTGGCATCTACAAAAATAAATTAGTACCAGTAAATATGAAGGGAACAAAAATAATGAAAATTTTTGCCAGGCTTTTAAATATTCTTTACAACAGAATGAAGCAAGAGTTTACTCAAAGGCGGCCAGGGAGGATCTCGTTTTGGTGTTGTTTTTTTTTTGCAATGAATTAATTGCATCGATGCCTACTCGTATTAAAGAAGTACTTTTGGCAAAAGGAGGAGCGACTAAATGTTGATTAATTTCGTTTTGTGTTAAAAGACTTTTGTATCACGATTTTTAGGGATGTTTTGATAATTATATTTTTTTCTCGACGAATAAGTGTTCGATAGTCACAACGCTATCGAACACTTATTCATCGAGAAATTGTGTAAATGAATTGTACATATATTTGTGTAACTAAAACTATTAATAGCTTCAAAGAGCTTTATCAAAGATCAAAGCTTTATTATCCATAAGCTTAAGAAAATCGATGAAGCTTTTTTAGAAAATTGAGTGTTAAAAGACTTTTGCACATGATTGTACAATTAGAAAGCAAGAAAATCGCAAAATAAAGGTTGATTTGGGATTACTCATGTCCCAATGAGGAGTCCCAATGAAGAGTCTCAAAGAAAAGAAGGAGAAAAATGAAATTTATTTCCTTCCTTTCTCTCTTAATGCCTTTTTTCAGACAAATCACATTGCAAATCGAATTTCATTTTTATGATTCATTTACTCGGAATTTTTTTCCTTCTCAAGCTCACCTCTTGATCGTTTGTTTTCTCGCGAAACACTTCAACGATTCGATTATGGGGAAATTGTATAGTTTTTGTTTTATGAGTGTTCGGAGATCATAATTCTCCCGTTTCTTGTACCTAATTTGTGAAATTTTGTGAAAAAAAAAAAGAAAATAAAAATGGGTTATGTACAAGTTCAAGTTCAAGTTTGATACGTGCTTTCAGCGTTTTGAATTAATGTGTAATTTATTGAGTTGGTGGGGATGAATTGGCACGTTTTTTTTGTTTAAATGAAATTTTTCTTTACTTAACAACTTCAATCATCATCGAGATCATCGCCTTGCCATTCTTTGTATGATTTGTGCCCATTTTAAGTTAAATGCCAGTTAAATGGCAGAAGTTAAATGCCTGTCTCGTAGAAAATCTTCGGCTCTTCGGCTCTTTCAATTTCCTAAGCCTAAGCCTAAGCCTAAGCCTAAGCCTAAGCCTAAGCCTAAGCCTAAGCCTGAGCCTGAGCCTGAGCCTGAGCCTGAGCCTGAGCCTGAGCCTAAGCCTAAGCCCAAGCCAATCTGTCAACCATTTTTTGACCTCTTCTTCTTCGGAATCAAAGCTTTTATTCGCCATTGCTCATCGCTCGGAAGAAATAGTGATCAGAAAGGGAAAGATGAGAGCTGTATGTTGGATGAGAGCTGTATGTTGGATGAGAGCTGTATGTTGGATGGGAGCTGTACGTTAGAAAGATGAGAGCTGTATGTTCGATGGGAGCTGTACGTTGGATCACCTTCCATCCAAGTGAGTTTAGTGTAGAACGAGTCATCTTCGAAACACGCGGTCTAGCATTATCAGGTTGAAGAAAGAGTTTTCTATTTGGTGTCTATTCTCTAGCAAAGATTTGACTGACTTGTCAAGTTGCTCAAAGTATTTGATTAAGTTGAGTGTTGTCTTGCTTTCTGAAAGTTCCCAGTAGATAGGCTCCTCTAAGACCCAGAACACCGAGAGCATAAACTTCTTCTCATGCAAATTTAGCTTGATGTCGGGTTCGGGCTTTTCCCCCTCAGCAACCAAAAACCAAAAACCAATTGACGCTTTCACCGTCAATTGGTGAAATTGACACCATTGCCTTTGACAGTTAGAATCCATTTTCATCTCCCGCCACAATACGGAATAAAAAAGATTTGCGCTCGTATAGAGAAAGATGAGCGGCACTGATTTCTGGCACGTTGCCATTTCTGGGTTTCCTTTAAATTATGTTGAATCCAATTCCCTAATACGGTTTAAACCCAAGTGTATGCAGTGTTCGAGGATTATTGTATGATAACTCTTCTGCTATTTCGCGAAAAGGAAGCCTTTTGTTGGTTTGAGAAATTTCGAGCAACTTGGCAGCATCCAGCTTAATTGCTGGATGATTTCATACAGCCTAACTGCTGGATGATTTCATCCAGCTTGACTGCTGGATGATTCATACAGCTTAACTGCTGGATGATTTCATACAGCTTGACTGTTGGATTTCTTTGAAGATTCATCCCCTCCCTTTGTCTTTAAAGATTCAGGAACGGAATTTAACAAATCAGTTTGCACATGTCCGTAGTGGAGCTGATCCACATAAAAGTTAGCTGAGCACTAGAGGCCTTTGTGTCCTTGTGTCCTTGTTTCCTTGTGTCGTTGTAGAAATTCGTAGGACATAACGTGTCGCAGATCTTCAGATGGTAGCTTTTCAATAGTTAGAACAAAGTAAAGTAAAATTGTCGTTTGTCCGTCTAAAAACTAAATATATTAGAAAGTGAAAGTCGATTGTTTTTCGCAAGAGTGAATGTTCACTTACGGATTTTCCACAAACCCGTCTCCCTCGTGTGGGATTTAATTTGAAAAAAGTGTCATATCCACCAACGCAATAGTGCTTTTAATCAGAAGATATGGTAAAATGGACTTCGCCAATCAATCCGCCGACCCTGAAAACCCAGAAAACAAATTTCTGGGACTAAATCTCATCAGAAAGAATTCTCAATGCCCAAAATTTTGGGGGCAATTTTCTACCGTTAAATTTGGCTGTTTTGTTTTTTTTGCTACAATTCCTACACCCAATCTATTCCCCAATGCTCATTTCGGTCACTCAAATCAAAACCGAATTTTCATTGCGCAAAACTTTCTCCCATTTTTCCAATAGCAATCCCCCATTAATTGTATTCGCGCGTTTACATCAGAGATTTATTTTTCTCATTTTTGCTCACTTGTTCTTTTCATATATTCCCCTTATTTTCTTCGACTTCCATGGCAACTCTTCGTGTCTTTTTTTTCCTCAATTCTCTCACAATTAGGTTTTTTTTGTTTTAGAACTGTGAGATTCAATGAATTTGGAACCTTTTTCGGGAAAATGTTTTGAAATAATAGAAATAATAGCTGTTTTTGTATTTAGATTGATCCGCTTTCGTTACTCAACACTTGAATTTCTGTTTTAGATGTTTAAATTGAATGCAATGGCTTTATATTACGTTTGTAGCTTTTGAAAATCGGATTTTTTGCAAAGAATTGAACGATTTTGTTTAATTCCTTAATTCCTACCGTAAATACTGTAATAGTACCCCATCCCTCTCGTACAGTCGCGTAGTCGCAAAAGTTTTTTAGTATTTCATTTGTATTGACGTATTGACGGTGCGGAGTGTTGCGTAGTCTAGTTTTGAACGAGTGTTTCTCGACACTGGTTTATGCTACAATGCTCGTTTAGGTATCAAAAAATAGCTGAAATTCAGGGCTATTTTTTGATACCTAAACGAGCATTGTAGCCTAAACCAGTGTCGAGAAAAACTCGTTCAAAGCTAGACTACGCGATGCTCCGACCAGCATTATGGGAGTGGGGTACTATTACAGGATTTACGGTATGTACTTTTCGATAAATGTATACGTTTTATGCTTTAAAGTCCGCTGTGAGAGTCGAACCTTTTCCTTTTCAATGCAAATTACCCTCAAAATTCGGCTGATCGAAGGGAAACTAGCAATTTTTGATTGCCATAAAATTTTTTCTCTAAAAATAGATGTCTTTTAGAAAACGGATTCGAATTTTATTATACCTACCGTAAATACTGTAATAGTACCGCATCCCTCTCGTACAGTCGCGTAGTCGCAAAAGTCGCAAAAGCAAAAGTAATGCCGGTCGGAGCATCGCGTAGTCTAACTTTAAATGCATTTTTCTCGCCACCCGTTTAAGCTAGAGTGTTCGTTTAAGTATTAAATGAAAGCTGAAATTCAGAGCTATTTTTTGATACCTAAACGAGCATTGTAGCATAAACGAGTGTCGAGAAAAACTCGTTCAATTGATTGATCATTGATTACTTTGGACTGCTCGATTAAAGAAAGCTACAAAACGTTTCTAGACTAGAAATTGTTGTATAAATAAATCTAAACTCAAAATCTCATTGTTTTCATTGCGAATTCTTTTGCTTTAAATAATTTTCAGCTTAGTGAAGGGAAATTTCGAAATAATGAATGATCAACGGTGAAGAGGAAACAAAAAAAATGCCGCCACATGTGCAAAAATATCGAATTGGCGAGGCAATAAAGGTTGCTTTTATATTTAGATTAATTGAATATCGTTAAAAACTTTTTAGGACTCACCAACTCATGACTACGATGGATTGGCACAGAAAAACTTTGATCATTTTCAGAAACCGATCGATCTTAATCAGGTACAAAGCATTGTGTGTTCTTTCCATGTCATTCCCAAAAAAAATTGCCGTCTGGCACACTACCCTGGATAATCAGAGAGTCAGAACGCCGCTCAGCCGGTTTAATTACCCAAGTTTGAGGGGCAAGAACGCACGCGATTACGGGGACGCGTAGAGAACGCACGCGATTACGGGGACGCACAGAGAACGCACGCGATTACGGGGACGCACAGAGAACGCACGCGATTACGGGGACGCACAGAGAACGCACGCGATTACGGGGACGCACAGAGAACGCACAATGTCTTTGATTGTTTTATATTGATTGATTGAGACAGAAGCTGTTTGAGATGTTTGAGTGAAACTTTTGACACAGTACATTCTACTCAAAACTATTTGCATTCATTTGTAGCCAAGAATGAGAGTTTCCCACGAAAATAGAAGGGTTTTCTCATTTTTTTTTCAGATTCGAGCCCGTGGTTTACCCGATAAAACCCCGGAACGCCAAAGCAAAACGTCTTTTCGATGGAAAGATGTCGGAATGTAAGAGAAATTTGAAAGAGGAATAGGAGAAATGACTTTTCTATGGGTACTGTATTACCGTACTAATGTAATTCTTAGGCAAAAAGGTCGGATTTACAGTATCCATCTCAATAATTCCTTTCCATTTTCTTTTCAGGCATTCTCTCCGTATCGCGATCATTGTGGCTGGTGGTTTGGCAGGTGATTTCTCTGATATTTGTCCCGTTTACCACCTGGAATTGAGTTGATTTACGTTGCTGAAGGGGCCAAAGCTTTTTCTTTGAGCCAAAGCTCGGACACCAGTTGAAACAAGAGGAGGTCAAAAAATTGTGTGTGCAGGGGACTCGAACCCCCGACCTTTCGCTTACCATGCAACTGTCCTAACCATTACACCACAAGGCACTTGTTTCCTCCCCCCTTCAGAGCGTCTTAAGTCACCTTTTACCAATCAAATGAACAGCTCTTCATTTTCAGTGTTCTTCTGGATTTGTTCTCAAAGAAATCCCAGTGATGGATCGAAGATTGGATGGGTTGGAGAGGCAAATTATGTAAGAATAGAAATTATACAGGGTGCGTCATAATTATTGCAACAAGAGTTCAAAGACCGTTTTCCAAACAGCTTTCTTATTTTTTTTGCCCCCTTTTTTGTTGTGTTGCGTTCTAGTGTGCTAACCACTACAGTGTGCTAACCCCTTCTCGTCCTTCTTTATTCTTGCCTAATTGCCTCCCGCTCACACGAAGAAGACGGTTCAGGACTGGTGTGTGGCCAACTTTCCCTCAGTGATCACCAAGGATGAATGGCCTCCAAACTAACCGGATCTCAATGTGATGGACTTTTCCATTTGGGCAATCTTCGAGGCTAATGTCTGCTCTTGAAGAAGAAGTCTTTGACCTTGAAGAAGTCTTTGACCAAAGGATGGAAGGCGACTCCTCAAGATGACATTCGGGCCGCAGTGGAGGCATATCCGAACCGATTAAGGGCTGTTCTCAAGGCAAAAGGCGGGCATATCGAATGATCTCTTGTCTCCTTGTTTGTTACTGTTAAATAAAGCTATTTCTGTTTAAAAATCTTCTTCCAGTGAAACTTCTTGGTGTGCAATGCCTTGAATATCTTGTTGCAATAATTATGACGCATCCTGTAGATTAGAAAATGTATAGATTATAGATTAGAAAAGAATTAGACTAATTGAAGCACTTAAAAATGATATTTTGAATGAATTTTTGAATCCTTTTCTGAATGTGATCTTTTTACAGTCTCTTCCCGCCTATTTTGAGCTCAAATCGCCAATGATTGTCGGTCAAAATATTCACATTGTTGGGAATATCAAAGAAGATGCGACAAAGTTCGATATTTTGCTCACTGAACAAATTTGAATGCGAATTAGAATCCAGATTAGAATTGAAATTGAAATTTCTTTCCAGAATTTGCGTTTACTTGCTCAAGAACGACACTGACCCGTCAACTTTACTGCGAGTGTGCTCGTTTTTCACGAAAGGTTGGAGAAATGGTTGACTGAATATTTAATTAAATTCGTATGTCAATATGCAGAATACCTGAGAAACGATTAGAAAAGTCTTTGTGCTATATGCTGTGTAAATTTGTACTGCGTTTCCGTATTCGCGCGCCTTTTGGCACAGAAAACTTGGGTAATTAAACCGGCCAAGAGGGGTTTCCGGGCAGGAACGGAATTTAACAAATCAGTTTACACATGTCCGTAGTGGAGCTGATCCACATAAACGTTCCCAATATTAGCTGAGCACTAGAAGCGCTTGTCCCTACCCGGGCGCCGTGTGCCAGATGCCGCTTTTTCGTACGAGAGACGGGGAAAGAACGCACACCGAAAGACATAAGACTTAACTCCCTCTAGAGCAAGATCAAATAAGTGCGTTGTGGTGTAGTGGTTAGCACAGTTGCCTGGTAGGCGAAAGGTCGGGGGTTTCGAGTCCCGGCGGCGCGGAGTTTTTGCTCTAGTTTGAACTAAAGTGGTTAACTGAATGCTGAATTGAACTAATGAACTAATATAATTAATATAAAGTCTGTATGCAAGTCATTCTAGATTCTGGACTGACCGACGGCTATTCAGAGTATACAGCTGTCATGCAAAATGGAACGGAAACATCGAAAACGACAAATCCTTATGAAGTGAGTGAAAGCTAGAAATTCGATAAAATTACATTAGAAAATAGAATGCTTAGCTTGTTTTTGATTACTATTTGACACTAAACTGACCATAAAGTTCACCGTATCCAGTTACACATTTCAATTTGCAGCGTCTCGGCGAGTACGACTTGCGAATGCGTATCTTGTCCGGTTATGTACAGGTATAGAAATAATCTAATGAACTAGAATATTAGGCTTTTCCAGGAAGTCTTTTCTTTCTTTTTCTTTCTTTTCTTTTCTTTTCTTTTCGTTTAAAACCAATAAATGCATCAATTGAACTACGATTTCATTAAAAAAGTGAATTATTTTTCTGTAAAATAACATTAAAACGGATTTCAAATGTAAAAAAAAACGTAATTTCCAGGTTTTTGCTCAAGGTGGAGAGATCGGGATCTTCGAGAGACCGGATCTTTCTGAGGTTTTGAAGAAAAAGAAGAAAAATTAGACTTTCACGGTGTTTTATAGGTGACTCACGTTGTTGCATCTGGGGATTTCGATACGATCACATTGATTTCAATATCTGGTAAAGGAACATCAACGCTAAAATCGAGTTTTAGCCTTTAGACAGCCTTTAGACAGGCTTTAGACAGTCTTTGGACAGGCTTTAGACAGTCTTTAGACAGTCTTTAGACAGCCTTTAGACAGCTTTTAGACAGTCTTTCGACAGCCTTTAGACAGCCTTTCGACTGAATAACTTTTATTTGAAGCTTAAAATGAGCAAGTGACTCCAAGTGACTCAAGTGACAACTCACTGTGCGTTCTTTCCCTGTCACTCGTAGGAAAAAGCGGCGTCTGGCATACTGGTCTGGGTAAAGCCGGCCGGAAATGCCTCCCAGTCGGTTTAATTACCCAAGTTTGCCAGAAGGCAAGCTGGAAGATTTCATTTGGTTCAGCTAAGTTCTATTTTTCCAGGCGGGAACTATTCAAATCCATTCACCGGCTCTTACACTCTTCCATTCAATTACCGCCTTGACATCGCCGCTCAACCATTGCCAAAAGGTGAGCTGAGTTCATGCAACAACTACAGTATCAAAACATGCAAAGACTGAACGATTTTCAGTGGATTCAACGCTTGTACACATGGAGAATCTCCTCGAGACTCCAACAACGACCGTTAGTCCGAATAAAACGGAAATGGATGGTTGTATAATTCGGTTTAAATTGACTCCAGAGATTCTAGATCCCTTTAAAAACTATGAATTGGAGCATAGACGCGTGAAACGAAAAGGATCATTCAGTTCTCGAGGCTCTTCTGGAGCTCGTTCCTCATCATCTGGTAGTCGAGCCTCAAGTACTTCAAGGTTTGTTTGTAGGTAATAGATTTGAGAGTCTGCATCTTTGCCAACAAGCTAAGATCTCGAAATGATCTTCAATGTCATACTTTCATCATCAAATCATCATCGTAAGCGTTCCAATTGGAAGAGAATACTATACATAAAAGAGCAGTGTCTGTCCGTTCGTATGTCCGTTCGTCTGTCCAGCTTTTTCCCAGCCATCTTTGAGCCAAAAAAGCACAAATTTTAATCTAGTTGTTAAAATATCAACTAAAATAGCGAAAATCAGAAACGAGTGGCATTACGGGGAGTCGAACCCGGATCATGTAGGTTGTAGATGAGCGTGCTACTGACTGCGCCACGACAGCAATAAGCGTAGGGTCCGAAAAAGCCGCCCTTACCTTTTTTGGTTAGTTTTTATGAAAAAATATTTTATCTGTTTTTATATTATTTTTGAATAGATTTAAACTAGAATTAATGTGATAAAGCTTAATAAATTTCCAAATGATTTTCCCTAGTTCCAACTAGAGCAGATCAAAACCGAGACTCGAACCCATGACCTTTCGCTTATCGGCCGATTATGCTAACCATTCCATTACACGACAACGCTCCTGATCTCCCTTACTTCATAGGGAGTTAACTCCCTAATCTCCCGGGCTATAAATCCTATTTTTTAACTTTAGGAGTACAAGCGGTGTGCACAGTACGGTACAGGTGGCGAGTCGGAGCTACGGAGGAGCGACTGGGGGTTTGTTTCGCTCTAGATTCATCAGCTTACTGTTGCCTCTCTCTTTTCATCGGTGCTCTCTCCTTTCATCTAAACACACCCTTTCCTGGTGTACTAAATCCAAAGTGCACCAGAAAGGCTGTGTTTACCTTTTACAAGATCATTTCCAGGTCGTTCGACTTTCAATTTTGCCTCGTCTCCCATTCTAATCGTTCCCCCATCCTACAGTTATCGTACAACAACCGGCTCGATCATTTACATGCATTCGTACAGTGGATCGCATGCCACTCTTTCCAATGGATTTCTCTATCCGACAAGTAAGTGGCTCTAGAACTAGTAAAATCGGCCTAGTGTCAAAGCAGGCCTTCAGGGTCCAGTACTGGTACTAGGCTTTACCTAGTAGAGTACTTTACCTACCTAGTATACCAAAGTACAGAGTACAGAGTACAGTACTTAGCTTTATAACTCTGGTACTTGATTTCACATTTAGTAAACCAGTGATCAGATCTAAAACATTGGAAAACTTTAGGCAAAATGGTGAACATCAGTCTGATCGCCGATGAGAATACGTATCCTATGCAGGTAAACAAATAAATAAAAATATAAATAAAGATAATTTCAGGTCTCAATTAACTTTCAAGCGAAGACAATCGAGCGAAACGCGAAAGTCGACGGTGTTTGGGGAGAAGTCGAGAAGAAAGGATCCATGCCGATGGATAATTGGAGAATGTCAGTGAGATTCGATTGCATTTTGGTGGATTGGGTTGTGAGCCTGGATCACGGTGGCCTAGATCGATGGCTTGGATCGATAGCCTGGATTACGGTGGCTTAGATCGATAGCTTGGCTTGATAGCTTGGATTACGGTGGCCTAGATCGATAGCTTGGATCGATAGCTTGGATCGATAGCTTGAATCGATAGCTTGGATTACAGAGTCTAGGGGTTTCGGGTCACAGTAGCTTCCAGATTACTGTAGGATTACGGTTTACGGTAGCTTCATGTTAACACTAAATTTCAGAAAGTGACAAATTGAGTGCACCAAACCGAGAGACAAAACTCTCAATCCGATTGCATTATTCTCTCGGTTCAAGTGTTGTTTAAGGAAACTGTCGTTGTTGTTGTTGTTGTTGTTAACAGAATGTAGAAATTGTAGTGAAAATATAGCCAAATTTGGGGTAAGAATTCTCGACAAGAATGCGAGGAAAGTGACGTCGAAAACGGTTGAGACAGATCAGTTGTTCACCTCAAAAGGGAAGCACCTTCTACAGGGCCCTTTGCCAGATGGAAAGCGATTGTGCGCGTGCACAAAGAAGGCACAAAGAACGCACAAAGAACGCGATTCTCCTTTTGTCTTGTAGATGGCACAAGAAGAAGAAATCCAGCTGAAAATTTGTAGCCGGGGGTTTTCGGGATCGCACATCGGCGCGAAAATGCGTTTTCTATCGGATTTTTCTGGGAGTACCTTTAGTTATAGTTAGTTATAACATCTTTAAAGAAATTTTGCAAAATACACTAAAAACATAAGGGGAAACCGTGGCCGAGTGGTCTAAGGCGCGCGACGTGAATCCCGCGCCAAACTATGGGGTTGTTGGTTCGGCTCTCTTTTTTAAAAAATGTTATAACTTTTTGTAGAGTTGAGCAAATTTGATGATTTTTGCATCAAAATATTCGTAAGAGTCTCTAGAATAAAAGTTATCCCCTCGTTTTTGGTTCTAGACCCTCGTTGTCGAGTTACGAGCCCCAAACTGCAGGGTACCACAAAATTTCCCATACAAAATGACCAAAAAAACGCTAAAACTAAATTTAAAAAATTTCTGTCAGAGGGATTTGAAAAATTTCTTCAGATTCGGAATCAGCACAATTTTCCGCATCTAGAAAAGGTACTCCCAGAAAAATCCGATAGAAAACGCATTTTTGCCTTATTTCGCGCCGATGTGGGTCGGGGGATCGATTGGCGGGGTTTATTTTTACCACATCTTCTAATCGAATCGTCGTTTTTTTTCAGTTTTTCCTGTACTATCGTGAATTCCAATTCGACTTTCGAGATCTATTTCAACGGTGTTCATTTCACTCCGTTCAAACAGCGAACGACAAAAAGCGTTTTGCGAGTTCATCTCGAAGGAGATCTTGAAGTAAACGTTGAGATTTGGAAGAAAAAGATCTAATGCTTCTCAAATTTCAGTTGTTCTCCATTGGCTCAACGCTGAAAACTCAATGATTTCCCATTTCCCAAGAGAGCTTCACAAAGTTTGGATTTGGATTTGTTTTTATTCAAATCTCATATGTAAATCAAAAACTAGTTTATAAAAAGATGAAAATTTGATGAAACGAAAACGAAATTTGACTTTTGATAAACACTAGACGGTCAGCTCCGAGCCAAACTGATATTTTAGTTACTATTGTTATTATTGAATGATTTGTCTATTCTTAGGCAAATAAGAATAGATTCTTATGTCCTCCCCTGTGCTTATCCCTTTTATTACCGAGAAGGGGCGATCCTTGGGATTGCCTAGGAGGACAAGTGAGACCCTGGGATTGCCTAGGAGGACAAGTCAGACTCTGGGATTGCCTAGGAGGACAAGTGAGACTCTGGGATTGCCTAGGAGGACAAGTCAGACTCTGGGATTGCCTAGGAGGACAAGTGAGACTCTGGGATTGCCTAGGAGGACAAGTGAGACTCTGGGATTGCCTAGGAGGACAAGTGAGACTCTCATTTGGAGTCCCCCCTTCCCCTTACACTTATTTGTAATCTATTCGTCTTCAGTTTGGCTCGGAGGTGACAAGACTGTATTAATAGCGTTTATTTTTTTTATTTTCTGTAAATTTGAATTTTTAGTGTATTTTTTGATGTGTCAAATGAAGCTTTTAACGTTTTTTTATTTCCTTTCATATAATCTTTATTTTAAATAATAAATTCAAATTCTGGGATTGATTTGAAAAGATTTCGATTTAAAAACTGAGAAAAATCTAAACTGAGATTTCGATTTAAAAAAAAAAGAAAGTGCCAAAGAAATCCCTGAGTTTATTTTCGAAATGAAAATGAAAAGTACAATATTTATATTTAAATCGTAATTTCTACGTACTCGTAATAATCAACGGGAAAAGAAAAAGAAAATTAGGAAAATGAGGATTTTAAGAATAAAAGATTCCAAAAGCTTTCATTTTTCCATTTAAAAGTCGAATAAGATGCTTTAGAGTTAGAAAATGAAAAAGATTTACTCAATTACTCTTTTGAATTTATTAAGTATTGGGTTGTCCAGTTATGAAGTTATGTCCAGTTGTAAAGTTATGTCCATACTATTTTGTAAATTTCTCAAGATATCGAACAGATGTATATGAGTGTTATATAATAGGTTGATGCATAAGTGTTTTTGTTCCTTTTCGTCAGCCGTTTCAAGCCAACAAATGCACGAATTAAACTACGGTTGATTTCATTAGAAAAAGCAATTATTTTTCTGCAAAATAACATTAAAACGGGTTTAAAAATATTGAATGCCTGGATTTTCTTGAGAGTATGAAGTCGGGTAGTCAAAAAGGGCTAACTCGATGATGCGGTTTAGACACCTTAGCTAAAGAAAACCGATCTTCGTGTCAATAGATAAAAGATAGAGAGAAAAAACGTTTGATATTTCGCCAAAATTTCAGAGAAATTCATTCAGCCAATTTTTCCGTAGAGTTTTTTATAGATTTTTACGAAAAAGGCGTTTTTCACTCTCGAATTTGCTTGAAAGTAGACTTCGGAAAACAAAACTTAACCAAAACCAAAACCATAACAAAACCAAAACCAAAACAAACCAAAACCAAAACCAAAACTAACCAAAACTAACCAAAACTCGCCAATATCTCGCGACTGGGAGGAGCTAGCGAAAATCTGTTTGCAGATTTGAAATCAGCATCCAAAAATCTACAAATCCATGCGTTTTTCACTCTCGAATTTGCTTGAAAGTGAACCGAAATTCATTTAAAAAGATGCAAATTGAACAAAAAAAACACTTTTTTTTATAGAGCAAACTATAGATTAATTCGTGAATTTGTTACTTTTTAACAGAAGTACGAAAAAAACGAAAACACTTATGCATCAACCTAATAGAATCAATATTAGATCTAGATCTAGAGCTAGAATCAATATTATTAACAGATGCATATGAGTGTTATAAATCATTCGAAAGCTCAAGATCTCCTCTACATTTTGGAATCAAAAAAGTTTTTGAATTCATTCAACTTTTTGGGAAATTGACTGCACAAAGGGAGAGGTCATTTTCGAAAAAACCCATTTCAGCTTAGCTACCGCATTTCTTCGAATAGAAGACCGGGTAAAGAGTATGATCGCGTACTCCTGCGTAGCAGCCCTTTTTAAAATTTCTTTTCTGCATAAAAGCTTTCAATGAAGTGCTATAGAGCTCTGTTAGCTCTTGTGGTATTTTTGAGTCATTTTCCAGCTCTATAGCACTTCATTGAAAGCTTTTATGCAGAAAAGAAATTTTAAAAAGGGCTGCTACGCAGGAGTACGCGATCATACTCTTTACCCGGTCTTCTATTCGAAGAAATGCGGTAGCTAAGCTGAAATGGGTTTTTTCGAAAATGACCTCTCCCTTTGTGCAGTCAATTTCCCAAAAAGTTGAATGAATTCAAAAATTCAAAAACAATTAATTATTCAAATCAGCTTAACAAAGAGATAAAGAAAGAGATTCAAAAAAAGAAGTAAACTAAAAGATTTAAATGTTATGCAAAAGACCAGAACAGAAAAGAAAAGATTTTGGTAAAGAAACGACAAGTTACAGTACTACCACAGTACAGTATTAAGTCATAGAGTTCAGCTTGTCAAATGACATCTTGTCAAATGAAACCGGTTGAGAATTCGAGAATGAGCTAGATCTTTAGCTAGATCTTTATGAAGCTAAATCTAGACCTAATGAAGCTAGATCTAGACCTAATGAAGCTAGATCTAGACCTAATGAAGCTAGATCTAGACCTATTGAAGCTAGATCTAGACCTAATGAAGCTAGATCTAGACCTATTGAAGCTAGATCTTTAGCTTGTTAACTCATTAGTTGACCAAGGCTGAAATCGACAGACCTAATCTTTTTAACAAAAAAAGCGATTCATTTCATAATCCATCGTGAACGCCCGCGTATTCCTCTTTTCGACAAATTAGATATAAAACGGCAGAAATCGAAGAGATGAGGATCTGGAATGGATAAAGATAAAGAAATTATTGAACTTTGATAAAGAACATTTTGAATAAAGCTAGCCTTTCAAGCAATAAGTCATGGCTAGCCGTGGCTCTGGCTTGGCCTGACTTGAAAATTTGGCCCTTCAGGTCCTTCAGGTCCTTCAGGTACTTTTGATTCTTTGCAAAGTTACCTATTTCAATCAAAATCTCATTTATAAAATTCTAAAGTGTTTAAAACATTCAAATATTCAAATTAAAACATTAATAAACTAAATGAGACTTTTAAAAGGGATTTTTGGTTTTTTGAAAAAGTTGAAAAGATTTTGAAAAAGTTTCGTTCTCTTCCCATTGAAAATCTAACTTTCAGCTCAAATATTTGAATGTTCAGCTGTTTTAATTTATAAATTATTCATTTCATTAGACGCGTCATGTCTTTCTCTATTGATTTGTAGGAAAAAATTCTTATATTGAACAGCGAAACACCAAGAAATTTGAGTTTAATATTGGATTGCTAGTTGAAAGATAGTTGACTATCGGGTTACGGTAACTTAGAAGATAGTTGACTATCAGGTTACGGTAACTTTCCTAAAGAGTTATCGTCCCTCTTCTGTACCTTTTCCCATTGGCTTAACTTTAAGCTCAAATCACTTGGTGTTGGGCTATCAAATTTCCATATTCTTTGGTATGATTAGACGCGTCATGTCTTTCTCTATTGATTTGTAGAAAAAAAAATCTTATATTGAACAGCGAAACACCAAGAAATTTGAGTTTAATATTGGATTGCCAATGATCGTTTGTTTTCAAGGCCATTCAATCACATTTTGACAAGAAATTCCAAAGCTTTTTACACTAGATTTTCAAAAATAATCTTAAATTCCACTCACCAAAGTCGTCAACGTAGTGCTGAGAGCGAAAGCTGTTGTGGACATGCACAAAGTGGATGAGGATTGCGATGGATCGGCGCATTCGACCAAAGCCATGTCTAAGGATCGCTCGCTTGGCACTGAGTCGTCACTCTGGAAGGTGAGATTTGAGAAATAGTACTGTGAAGTAGTCTACAGTATTCTAGAGTCAATAAATCTTTGCTTATCTTTATCTTCGTCCTCACCTCAGCTTCCTTTTTCAGTTCAGAGATCTCGATTCTCTGAGATTGCACCTCGATCATTTTGATTGATTTTCGTGTCCGTCTAAAAGCAATCTAATTTGAAAAAGATTTAGAAGCTAGAATAAGTAGAAAGGGAAGATTTAGAAGATAGAATAAATAGAAGAGGAAGGTTTAGTAGCTAGAATAAGTAGAAAGAGAAGATTTAGAAGCTAGAATAAATAGAAACAGAAGGTTTGGAAGCTAGAATAAGTAGAAAAGGAAGGTTTAGAAGTACTTACGGTGCTACAGAACCTAAAAAAGCATTCAGCTAAAGGTTTAATGGAGTTACGGATGAAAAAGACAAAGTTCAGATAACCCAGGCTACTAATAAAGCTTCATGAAGTAATAAAGCTTTCAGTCAAGGGTTTTAGATTTATTTATAATCAAATATTGCCAATTTATTGCTTACTTTGTTCGTTGCTCTTCGAAATTTGAGCATTTTGGTGGTGGACATCCATCTTCATTTCTTTCGCTTAAAACCATTTCACATTCGAAAAAAACGACCGGTTTTTGTGCAACGCCAAAGACGGAGACATTCTGCGCAACAAGGCGCTGAAAATTTAAATTCAAATTCAATTACCAAAAAGTTGTTACAATTGTTACAAAAAATTGTTACACTGTAAAAGTCTCTTTTAAAAGCCTCTTTTCCACACAGTTGGAAGGACGAAAGGGACTTAGGAACGTTATTGAATATCTTTCATATCTTAAACCAGTAGAATGATTCTTCCATTAGCAGGAGAATTTTTCTATTCCTGTAGGAGACTTTTTAAACTTACATGATTATAATAGTGCAACTCAGGCAAAACGTATTCATCTAAAGTGCAGCCGTTTCCTCCAATCAATGGATAGCGTTGATCAGGAGTCACAAAGAAACAATTCCTGAAAAGGTGCTAGATCTAGACTTGCAGCTAATCCAATGGTAACACTGACAATAATCCTGACCCTGGCACTCTGACCCTGGCACTCTGGCCCTGACACTCTGGCCCTGACACTCTGGCCCTGGCTCTCTGACCCTGGCTCTCTGACCCTGACACTCTGGCCCTGGCTCTCTGACCCTGACACTCTGACCCTGACACTCTGGCTCTGACACTCTGGCCCTGGCACTCTGGCAGGTCTGACCCTAGCTTGGCTTGACCATAGTCTAATCCTGACCTTGGCCTGGCTCAAATGTTCCACTTATTTCCTCTTTTCCCCTCTCTTTCTTCCTTGTGTTTCCTATTTCTTCTCGGCCATCGAAGGCGACAATAGCTCAGTGGTAGAGCATCTGCCTGGTAAGCAGAGCGGTAACAGGGTCCAGAGTTCGATTCCTCTCCCGCGCCCTCATCCAAATTTTTTGGAAAAATTCTTTCGTTTATTTTATTTTCATTTATTCATTTCTTTACTTTATTACCTGACTAGTAAACAATCATTGCCCGTATTTCTACAACTCCATTCATGATAAACAACGTCTCCAATAGCTGCTGAATGTAATAGTCGACCGTTGCGGGAACTGGAATAGATTTGATTGATTAATGGTCCTGTTTCCAAGTACTCTTTAACCAATGAACCCAAGACAAGCCTTTTAATATTGTACTCGCAATGAGGTGATGTCTCGGGAAGATAATCACCCGTCTCTGGCTTCATTTGTTGACCTGAGAATTGATTATTTCAAAAACTATTGGATCTTACCGTTTTCCAGTTTTGTGCCATTCTTTCGCAAGTGTAAACAGTCGAATTTGTAGACGAGATCGTCCTAAAATGGATCGTCCTTGATTTTAAGGCTTGTCTTAGATTTTCTTTAGAATACTGTAATCTCAGAGTGAGTCAAATTCATACAATGATTGATGGAGATTCAATCTTTTAGGCTCACTTTTGTCAAGAAGTTTTGATGAAAAGATAGGACCAATTCAGCTGAAATGAGCAAGCCATCTGGGGAGTGTAGTCTAGAAAAAAGGAAAAGATCATTTGATTGTTTTGAAAGAGATTTTTGAATAGCTTTTTTGAAAGCTATTCAAAAGCTGAAAAGCTGAAAGCTTTGAAAGCTCACCGCTTTCTCGGTAAAGCGCAATCTTGATGCGGGATCAAGACTTCGATTTGATTGTTTGTGATGAGAATCTAAAGATTTCAAGTGAACATCTGAGAAGATCTAATGGTCTAAAATGTTCAATATCACCTAGATTTGTTCATTTGCAATATTTAGAACCTATATTAGTTTTAAAACTGCCTTACAAGTTGTTCTTTTTTCCCAACCTGATAACATTCATTGTTTGGAGCGTAACGAACAGTGACATGTCCAATAAAAGTCGATTTTGTGCGTAATTTCACATAGATTGCATCGGCCGCACAACTAGAATCGAAAGATTTATTGATTGGATACCTTAGTTTAAAGATAGATGGGTTACGGTAGGCTCGGGTAAGCTATGTAGGTTACAATAGGCTACAGTAGGCTGCAATGGGTTACAGTAGGCTAAAGTAGGCTACAGTAGGCTAAAATAGGTTACAGCAGGCTACAATAGATTAAAGTAGGCTACAGTAGGCTACAGTAAGCTAAAATAGGCTACATTAGGCTACAGTAGGCTACAGTAGGCTAAAATAGATTACAGTAGGCTACAGTAGTCTACAATAGATTACAGTAGGCTACAGTAGTCTACAATAGGTTACAGTAGGCTACAGTAAACTGGAGAATGAGGATTGAAAGATTTAAGAACTCTCTTCAATACGTTTACATGGCTGGTATAAATTCGAGCGCCATGGCCGACGCGCCTTTTCGTCGTTGGGCCCCTAAGAGCCTTTTCTATCAGCCGGGAGCTAATCGAAAGGTTAAGGGTTCAATTCCGGCTAGCTGGTGCTTTTTCTCATCAATTTTTTTTGCTACATTTAAGGCTTAGCTTAAGCTTTAGATCGTGTGATTATTAGTGTCATTTCTCCATTTCCTTTCACCTTATCATTCTTTTTTAGTAAGCTCAAAATTCCATTGCCAAAGGCTTTGTTTCTGGTCGTTGGGATTGGTGTCAAATGGATTTCGGGACAAAGAGACGAGTATATGTTTAGATGGGCTTAGTGTTAGCTAACAGAAAGGGGTGGGGAGGGTCCAGGAGGCCCTTGGACCCTTTCTCGTACCCACCAAAAAGATAGAAAGGGTTCAACATTGGGGTTTTGCCCATCCTCTTCCCTCATTTCTCTATTCTTTATCGATGGATTCCTTTCCGAACAAAGAGTGTCACTCTTGTCTCTTTTTCACTCACGCCATCTCTTTCGTGAATTTTATAATCCAGAAAATATGGCGATAGTTGAGATTTCATAGCTAGAGACAACTATAGCTAGAGACAAAGAGAGAAAGGAAATTTTAGGCTGACTGGCTGGCTGGCTGGCTGGCTGGCTTTATTACCCAATGTCTCAATAATCAAAGCATTTGATCGTTTGATCTGTTTAATCATTTGATCTACTCTGAGGTACGATAGATTCTAGGGCACTTTTCTATTTCTAGGGATTCTAGGGCAAGTGAAAGCTACTGTATTCCAGCTGCAAGATCTATAGTGCGGTAGCTTTCCCGTATTGGAACCGTATTAGATCAAAATAGAAGTTCCTATTTTGATCTAATACGGTTCCAATACGGTTCCTATTTTGATTTAATACGGTTTCAATACGGTTCCAATACGGCTCCAATACGGTTCCTATTTTGATCTAATACGGCTCCAATACGGCTCCTATTTTGATCTAATACGGTCCCAATACAGATGACAGTAAAACAGTTTCCAATGTTGAATTCTTTTCGATTCTCTGACCTAACCATCGGCTCAGCTTGCATTCCATTCCCATCAACATTTGAAAAAAAAGAAAAGAATAGAAAAAGTAGAAACACGAATATATTCATCATCGCTTCCCACAATTTCCTTCACTTTCCGTTCGCCGTTTTCGCATATTCTTTGCCGTCTAACCTCTGGAATTGAGTATAAAGATAATGGTAATGAATAATAGTAAGGTAATGAGAATCTGTTCTTAATCTGTTCTTAAAAGAAAGGTTACAAGAATTGATTAGAGGGTTAGATACTGGTCAAGAAATCTAGCTAATTTAATAAAAGTGATCTTTTTGCAAATCCGAACAAATCTTTCACTATTTCTTTGAAAAGAGAAATTCATTCACTCATTTCAATCTTGGATAATGGAATACAGAAGTGGAAAAAGGAAAGAGGAGTGCCGGAAAGAGAGATAGGGAGTGCCGCGAGTCATAAAGTCAAAAGAAGTCACTCTCTTTTGTCTAACCGGCAATTAGAATGACCGGTGTGTGGAAATGGAATTAGAAATGTCTCGGCGAACTCTTTTCTCTTTCGATTCTTTCAATTCAATCATTTCAATCATTTCAATCTCGATAAAAGCTCCGGATAAGCGATTTACAACAATGGAGCTGAAGTGGATGAATAGAAAGACAAGGTTGGTAGGTAAAGATGTGGATAGTCAGGCCAAGGCATGATCAGGGATCTGGGCTAGCTTGGGTCTGACCCGATGTGACTCCAGATTCTTCAGCTGATTTGTTGAGCCTGGTTCAAAGGTTGGTTCTGGTTCAGAACTAAGCCAGCCAGTCAAAAGCCAGGGTCTTAATTAAGCCTAGACCAGGAACCTTACCTGACCTAGGCTTTGCTTGGTTTGGCCAGGCCAAGATCAAGATGTAATGCATGGAGCTGATCCTGGTTTAAAAATAAACCGAACAAAGCAACCAGAACACTGATTCTGGTGAAGCTATTCTAAAATCTGAGATCTGATGAAGCGATTCTACTAAGAATGCAAGTAACAGAGCAAAGAGAACAAGAGAAAAGTCAATATGCGTAATTTCAATATGTGATGACCGATCTCCTAATTAGCAGTGTTCGACAAGAGCAACAAGGCATGGAAAGGCACAAAAAGAGAGGAAAACGGGCGTAAAGGAGTCATGATTAATGGGCGTCCTCTCTAGAATTTCCCTGGGTTTTAACGTGAGAGTTTTTTTTTGGAGAAAGTGCGTATTTGAAATTCTTTGGAATTAGCTCAGAAAGGCAGTTAAAATGTGTTGAAAAATGTGTTAAAATGTGAAAATTCAAGCAAAGAAAGATGAATGCCACTTAGCCAGAAATAATATTGAATCAAATATTGTTGCACAAAACTTACTGAAGAATGAATTCGTTTCGATTTGGATTTAAAAGAACAGCAAGTTTTTAGCTTTCAGCTTTAGCTTTAGCTTTTAGCTTTAGCTTTTAGCTTTGGCTTTTAGCTTTAGCTTTAGCTTTTAGCTTTTAGCTTTAGCTTTAGCTTTCAGCTTTAGCTTTAGCTTTAGCTTTTAGCTTTAACTTTGAGCTTTAGCTTTGAGCTTTAGCTTTTAGATTTAGCTTTTAGATTTGGCTTTTAGATTTAGCTTTTAGTTAATACAATTTCAACTTTGTAAGGTACAAGAAAAGAATCTAAAGCTGTAGTTGAAGTCTTGCTTTTCAAAGTTTTAAAGTAGTAGTATTCGGAAAAGAAAAACAAGACCCATTTGGACAAATTCTAAAACAATGTGTTTGAAAAAAAAAGACAAAAAGAAACCTGGAAACAAGTGGAAATAATCGTGTTAGCGAGTTGGATGGAAAAGAGAATGAAGAGGAGGAGGAGAAGGAGAAGGAGAAGGAGAAGGAGAAGGAGAAGGAAGGAGGGAGAAGGAGAAGGATGAGGAGAAGGAGAAGGAGGAGGAGGAGGAGAAGGAGGAGGAGAAGGAGGAGAAAGAGGAGAAGGAGATGCTGAAGCTGGAACTGGGAATAGAAATTCCCGAAAAGGGATTGAAAACGGGGAATAGTTGAAAAGAAGAGAAAGGGGCCAAGAAAAGAACGTAAAAATGGGGAAAGAGAAAGTCTTTGAAATATTCAGCATCGCCAAATTTCCATGAGGTTTTTGGAGGGATCCATTTTGGGGAAAGAGGACCAATAGACACTGTTTTTCTATGTAAATCGATGATGAGCTTGTTTAATGGGTTAAGTTTTTTCGAGATTGGTGGAGTTCAAGGCTTTTATGGAGAGAATGAGTGAGTAGGGATTCGGGATTTTGGAAGAATGGGTTTAGAGTCTTGTAGCAGTCTTGCTAGCAGAGATTTTCAAAATCTTGTCCTCTGAGTGATTCACCAGATACTTTTTGCCAAAATCAAACCCAGTTAACTAAACCGAATCTTGATCTGATTTTCCCTCAGATCTTGGACCAATTAGGCCCAGATTCGGCTTTAGCTAACTAACGAAATGGCCTAGCTTCGATCAAAAGTATCTGACTGAAAACAGAAGTTAGATTTGGACCGAGCTCATTGTTTGATTTGTTTTTGGTTTACTCTGAAAACAGTACTTAAACTACACTGAACTTCTAAAGTATTGTATCAAAAATTGCCAAAGTTTGAGCAACTTTCTAGTCAGCTAAGTCATGCCAAGTCAGACTTGCTTCGACTTCGACTTTAGAGTGATTGCCCGGATTCCTAGACGAAGCCAAACTGATAATGAGATCAAGGCACAACCTGCAAGACAGAAGGGAAAACTTATAAGAACGGTAAGGTACTGTACTCGAGTTTATTTTCAATTGCAAAACTTCAAATCTCCAAACTCCAGAATGAAAAAAAAACTCAAAAAAAGAGAAAAATTTCGAAGACCCAATTTCCTTTCGAATTTCTCCCACAACGAAAAGAGGTAATTCGGGAATTTCTTCGGAAAGCGAAATCTAAAATCCGAAAAAAAGGAGAAGGGGAACGGCTCGGATTTCACTTTTTTCTCTAGGTAATCTTAGGTCATTCCGAGATTTTGGAAAGAATGAGAAGAAGATTTGTCGTCGATCAAAGTAAGGAATTGTTGGAATTGTTGGAATTGTATTTCAAGTTTTGGAAAAAGCTTAAAGCTTGATATATTTGGAATACACTCATTAATCGAAGAAGCCTTAAATCCTTAAATCCTTAAATCCTTAAAAGAAAACCCTCAAATCTTAAACTACTATCATGTTTACCCCATTCTCTAAAGAAAAACACTTATTTGTCGTTTGTCGGTTGACTTTTAGAGGAGAAGAAAGCCATCATTAGACGCTTTTCGAGGAAAGGGAAAAAAGGGAATGAGGCAAGGAAAACATTGAACGAAAAATGGGGAGAAAATTTGGAATTCGGAATGGATGGGGGAAAGATCTTTGGCGGAATCGAGGAAAGGAGAAAATTTTGGGATTAACAAAAGAAAATTGAAGGATCAGCCGACAAATAAAGTGCTAGTATTAAATATTGAAAGATTCGATTCGTTGATCTCGCATTATTTCTCAAGCATCAGTTTTCGATTGGATGAAGCGGCAACGCTTCCGATTTTCCCGATATAGCTGGTTTTGAAGTAAGAATAGAAAACTAAAAGAAAAAAATGAACTTTTCTGGTCATTCATATGATTTGGCAAGACGATCAGAGTTTCAATGAGAGAAAAGAAAATATTGTCGAATATCTGTTGCTTTCACAAACGTTAACGAAAATCCTTTGAAACCTGCTGGAATTTCTATTTCTGGCCACTCATTTCTGAGAGGCTGTGAGTTCCCAGAAACTTGGGTAATCAAACCGGCCGAGGGCGCTTCCCGGCTGGCTTCATCCGGGGCCGTGTGCCAGACGCCGCTTTTTCCTATGAGCGACATGGAAAGTACACACAGCGCTACTCCAAAAGGAAGCGCGCCTTCTGGCCCAAACTTGGGTAATTAAACCGGCCAGGAGGGGTTTCCGGTCATCCCTACCCAGGGGCCGTGCGCCAGACGCCGCTTTTTCCTACGAGAGACATGGAAAGAACGCACCGTGATCCGTTTAATTGAAGAGATTTTCCAGTGTCCTTCAAAGTTTCAATGAAATGAGAGGTGAAATAGGTACTCGACTTGTGTGCCCCTTATGCCCTCTTCTCCGAAAGGCTCCAATTACATGGGCCATTCGATGAAAAGGCGAAAAAAAAGGCGTATTTGACAAGTTTTTTCACAGCAGAGACATTGACAAGTGAAAAGTTTTTGCCAGACAAAGTAAGTTCAATGTCAAAGTAAGTTCAAATTTCTTAAAAATAAGCCAATAGCGTCTTTAGATTAGTTGACAAATAGCTATTCAAGTAGGGAATATTTTAAGTTCAAATGCTTTAGCCAGATGTTTTGACTAGAAGGAGTGTTTTTGCGGAGAAATGCAGAGAATTCCTTTTCAACGAGTCAATTTTTATCTCCGTAAAATGCAGCTGGGAAAAAGAAGACAAGCTGCGCAGATTTTAGGCTAAAAACAGTGATTCCAATAGGGTGAATGTAAAATGGAAAAGATAAAAAGCAGGCGAAAGTCAAAAATCAGATCAATTTAGAATTTAGGCTGATCTACGGATTGATCTACGGCTTACTGTGCGTTCTTTCCCTGTCGCTCGTTGGAAAAAGCGGCGTCTGGCACACTGTCCCGGGTGAAGGGGGTACGGAAATGCCGAACGGCCGGTTTAATTACCCAAGTTTCAAATTTCAGACTCTTCACCAGTAAAATCCATGGCAAAGCGGCAGGCAAAGCGGCAGGCAAAGCGGCAGGCAAAGCGGCAGGCAAAGCGGCAGGCAAAGCGGCAGGCAAAGCGGCAGGCAAAGCGGCAGGCAAAGCGGCAGGCGAAACTTCAATCAAAGAAATCGAACTTAAGTTCCACCCCAAACAACAATGATTTATTGGTAACAATGAGTAAGTCAATTGAAAATTTATTTTTTGGAAAGACATAAAGAAAAAGCAAAAGAACAAAGCAAAAGAACATAGAAATAGCCGTTATGAATATATTAAATAGCTAAAAGCTTTAAACCTTGTATCTATCTTT